GGCGTTGTCAGTTTGTTTTCGATCTATGAGTTTGACTGTCCCTCTGGTATCTTTCGTCCCTCTTTTACATTTGCAACCACAGTACGAATAGTGCAGTCTAAAAGCGTATTAACATCCGTGCACAGAAATTTTGTTTCTAGAATAAACTTTATCTGGTACGCTCGATATATACCAATAATTTTTTCAAAAAATATTTAAACTTTACTGTATTTTTTTAATCTAGCATTATATATATGTGTAATGGTCGTTGTTGCTTTCTTTTGTGCGTCCATTTAATATACGGGGGGATGTTTTTTTGCAGATTGACTAATTATTTTCATATGTTGCTTCGCAGCGGCTTTATGCCGGAGATCGTGTCACTAAACAATTTGCTGACTCTTGGAACTCTTTTGAGTCAGTGCATGCATCGATTTTTTTACCCAGTGCCAAAGTAATCAACGTAAATTTATCATTACCCTATGCACAACGGGATCATTATAGTTTGGTGCATGCAAATAGGCCTTTTATTTTTAAATCAACTTTCAGAATGCAGATGCAATAGTAAATAATGTGGCATTATCAATAATTCAACCTTATAATAACCCTTTCTTTTTGTTTTTACTAATAAACCATGTTATATAAGAAAACAAAATTAACATTGAAAATAGTATTTGAGAAAATGGGATTTCATGCAAAAACACCATTTAAATGTACAACTCGTTGTTAGATTTAAGACCATTTTTTCTCTTCATTAACAGTAAATAATTAAACCTCAGAGTGATGGAAAACTGTCTGACTGTTTGATAGTAAAACATAATTTTTCGTTTATGTTTGCTTTTCATGACTTGTTTATTTTTGTTTAAGTCCTTCCAAATGACAGTTGAAAATAAATCTGATCCGACCTTAGCAACAAGAAGATTACAAGGCAAAAGAAAGTCTCTGGACTTTATCTATGAGACTTACGTTGGTCCGTTTCCAAATAAAAACCTTAAGGAAGATATGAAAAAGGAGATGAAGTCAAAAGAGCAACGTCCGAAACTATGGATGAAACGACCATTGACCAGGGAGATGGCTTTGTATGCAGCAACAGATGTTGAGACACTTCTGCCAATACGTTCAGAAATGGAGAAGTAAGTACCTTATTCACAACTCATAGACGATAGTTTATCAAATTTGAAAAAAAAACAAGAAATAATTGTACTTGTTTGAAATTAGACTACGGATTAAAACCTTTTGTTGAAAGAATTTCTCAGTTTCAAATGAAAATGATCAGTAACGAGGGAATAAAATAAATAATTCGTTTCCTTACTAATACATTATTTCCAGATACCTTAGTCAAATGGAAGAAACAGAAAGATATGGTTTTGTAAAAACATTTCAGGAACTGTGCATAGAAAGTATTTATACGACAGACCATGCAACAAAACGAAAAATCATGATGCGTAAAAAGGAGCGTGAATTTGAAGAAGCAACATATTTACAGGAATCTGACATTTCCTTGTCTAAAGCAGAGCGTGAAATAATTCAAAGTTTGAAGACACAGCGTTCTTCTAATATTTCTTCACCAACAAGACGCCGGAAACAATCCCCTTATAGGCCAAGAGCGGCAAGAGGTAAGCAAAGGAAAACCATTGAACGAAAATGTCCAGATGTTAAAACGGGTCAATTTCAAGCTGAAGAAATCTCATGCAAAAAAACCTCAGAGGACAAAATGAATGAAGTATCCACTATGCAAGCAGAATCAACAAAACAAGAAACACAAAACAATGAAACATTATCAAGCAGTCCTCCGCCTTCACCTGCACGAGTAATCACAAGAAATTTATACAAAATGAATCTTGCAGATGGAAGTGGCGTTAAAACTAGTGAAACATTGTCGAAAATGGAATAAGTCGCAACCCGTTTTATATAAAAATGTATACAAAATGTTTGTATTTGTCTCAGGAATCACAGGTTACTATATGTCAATAATATTTATGAAATAAAAAGTATCTTGACAATTGTTTTTGGTTATTTATCGAATTATTTAATAAAAGTAATCGATTACACACAGAATAAACATCAGAAGAGTTGTAGAAAAAAAAAGTAAAATCACAAAAATACTGAACTCCGAGGAAAATTCAATCGAAAAGTCCATAAAAACAATGTAATATCAATATTTTCTTTACAGAGAAAATTTCAAATCACATTAATCTTTACTCTATCACTTGTAGCTATATCATTATCTTCAGTATGAAAATAAGGATATTCGGTTTGATTGCCAAAGAGACAACTATCCATCAAAGGAAATGATATAAACGACTACAGGTCACGGTACGGTCTCTAACAATGTGAGCAAAACACATACCGTATAGTAATCTACAAAGGCCAAATGATACTTAAAGTGAAACAATTAGAAGTAGAAAACTAACCACCTGAATTAAGCTTAAATCAATACTCGAAACACAATTATGGCAAACGGAAAACAATTGCTACAATTGTAATACACATTCCTGGCTCGTGAGTGGCATACAATGAACATGACCGGATGAAAAATTATTGCTAACCCTCCCCTCTGACTGAGAAAAGTGGTGCAACATCAAAATATTAGAAAAAACTGTGACATAAAAGTTGACAAGGACTTGACTCCTCAAAGTGGTACTTAACACAACTAAAAATGACAAAGTACAAAAATCTTCCTATCTATGAGTATTAAGTTAATAAAATTAGTTCATCGATCAAATTCAACTTATAAATAGACAATGTTTTCCCATACTTAAATATAGTCTGAGAAAGCATGAACTTGTGTAGTACCAAAATATAAGAAAAGACCGGATGCTGGAAAGTGTGTTAAAACCTTGATTTGCAATATAAGTTTAGTAATAAATAAAAGCAATGTAAGTACCAATAAAGGTTATATTCAAAGGTCTTGTAAGAATTGTGTATAGACGAATAATTTGTTGTTGTTGAAACCATGCGTTACATTTTAAATCAGTAGATATAATATTAAAGACAAACATATCGTTCATTTTTTAAAAGTGGATTTTTCGGGAAAAATGGGTTACCCACTACTCTAGTCTTTCCGTGCACAACTTTTCATTTCTAATCACTCTTACGGATTTGTACACGTTAAATATTTTCTGTGTTATAAGTGCCATTTTCATATGCTAGTTTTTAGATACAATCTTATCTTTAATTTCCTTGTGTTGTTGGCATCCAATATAATTATATTCTCCCAAAACAATAAAAATTGTTTAAAAAAACAAGGAAAACCAACTAGTTAGAATTCTTATATATATAGACTTTAAAAGCATCTGCCTGCTTTTAAAGCATTAGCTCGTTCCAATCTTGAAAATGATAAAAGCCCATGGAACCCGTATAGATAAAAGGATATCGAGTCTATAGAAAACTTCCAATGTGAAGCAACAAAAATGTTACCCACAATCAAAGACTTGTCGTACGAAAAACGACTGAATAATGAACATTTCAACATTAAAATTCATAACCTTAAAAAACGATATGATAGAGACATACAAGATAGTAACAGAAATATACGTTGAAAGAGTAACAGACGATTTATATGTGCGGAACATTAGTTGGACAAAAAGAGGACTTTCGTTGAAACTGGTAAAACAGGAGAGGAATCGATATCAGGAAAGTAGAGGAAATGAGGAAAAGCCTTCCAGATAGCGTCGTAGCAGCAAACAAATACAGACTTTTGAGCGACGAATAGACAAACCCTGAGCAGAGCAATCCACGATATATGAGTTTACCATTGACTATACATATACCAGCAACAACGGAAGCAGAAAAAATGTAACCAGTGATGATGAAATATAGCCAAATAAAGAGGTGTAAACTGACCTCCTGCGCTTTGAAAAAAATAGGTAGACAATCGATTCGTTGAATCAATACTTGCAAGTTTTTACAGTTGTAAAACATTGTTGGTTTCTCCAGATAACAGAACCTTAACTTTTTGCATCATTTCATATTATAAGGACTATTCAAAATGTGATCATATTATTTCTAATCTTTATTTGTAGAATATGGTCGAGCGAGTGGTATATATACTAGTAGCATGTGCTTTTCAAATTTGACTTTCTATGGCCCTTTAAAACATATTTTGATACTTCAAGTGGTATTCAAATGTATTTGTGAACACACACCTTCTTCACAACCCTTTTCCTTTCCTGAAAATGTTCACCTTAAAAAAAGTAATGACAAGAATAGTAGACGTAGACTGAGATAAAAGTCTAGATAAACCCCGCCACATTTTGTACCTGCATCAAGTCAGGCTATTTAGGCTACAGGTTGTACGTTGTTGTCTTATTTATTTGTCTATTTTGTAGAGGAGCCAGTTGTATGGGATGGTGTTGTTGTGTTGAACTGTCCAATAATTTTAAAATTCCTTTTACCCTTTTATGTTGAGTAGCATATTCGTAACTCAGAAGGAACACTTTTACTTTTTCCTCCGGTATAGCAACTCGTATACCAACTTTTTTACTATTGAAACTTTCAGAATGAATCTATAAATGAAGTACCTGATTTTATAGAATCCCTTTTACTTTTAAATACACCTGAACACCTGAATACGAAAGGACCAATATTTATCACAGTTATTTCCACTAGGTTTATTTTTAACACAACAATTTACGGATTTTCCCTTTATAAAAATACACGTCTCTGGTTCACGTTTTAATCATTCGATTTATAAATTTTATTTCAACGCAATAACGCGAGAAAGTTAAAGGATTTGCTAGTTTTGTTTTCGATACGTCAGCGAATATTTAGCAAAGTATCAAGTGAAGACAAAGTTCGATTCCTAACTGTTCAAGGCAGATTTGTATCGTCTACTACAGAAAGCAACATGTTAAACAATCTTTTCTAGAAAATAAACATTGTTATATTTTCAAAATTAATAAGGAAAATTGTGAAAAGCATGCATTTAAGTTGATTCTACATTTGGGTTTTCCAGGTACTAAATTAGATAATATTAAAGTTAGGTCAATAAGTTTATACTGAACTATAAATAGAAAGGAATTTCCAAACAAATAGTCATTCAACACTTTCGGTTTAATTATTGAATTCAGTTGCAGAATTAATTGATGGCAGCAAAATATGTAAGTTTAAATTTTATTGTTTTTGTTTCGGAAAAAGGCTTCGTAGTGTTAAAAGTGTTCCATGGATTTTTCTCAATTTGTTTTACCTGTCATTATGTTTCGTTTTGGCAATGATCTTATGCTTTCAATTTCTGTATATATATGTATGAGATTCAAATACATAATTATATAAAAGATTTTCAGTTGCAAATGTTTTGATCGGTTGCGTGGGGTTTATATCACTAGGATAGAAATCTTTTGACACAAATAGATATCTTGAGCTAGGTCATCACACTTTACGGCCTTCAATAAAAAGACAAGGGTCTATACAATATGTCTAACTTTTGAAAGCCTCAATTCCGGAATCGTTTTGAACTCTCAAAGATCTGCCCTCAATACAAACTTCCCTAAATGACAAAAGCATCAAGATATAGCCAGCAATTCTTGCAACCACTGACAAGGTTCCTTGAACATGTGGCAGGCTTAAAGCTTAAAATTGTTAAGATCTATGGGCCACAGATTCCCCCGCTTGTAGATATGCATGAGTCAATTTCCACATACAGATGCAGGATTCACGTAATTAAGACCGTTTTGAGATTATAAGCATTGTGTATAAGTTTCATAAAATTTGGTTGAGGCAAACTAAAGTTAGAGAACGGAAACGACAGATTTAGCAATGTTTCCATTTAAAAAGGGGCATAACTCAAGAACGGTAAAAGTGACGCCACCAAATTTCGAACTTGATCTGTGTTTTGTAGTAATAAGCATTGTGTATAATTTTCATAACAATTGGTTAAGGGAAACTAAAATGAGAGAACGGACACGAAAAATTCAGCAATTTTTATGTTTACAAAGGGTCATAACTCATGAAAGGTAAAAGTGACACCATCCAATTTAGAACTTGATATGTGTTTTGTGGTAATAAGCATTGTGTATAAGTTTTATAACATTTGGTTGAGGCAAACTAAAGTTAGAGAACGGAAACCAATTTAAGGGACGTACGGGACGGATGGACGGACAAGGGTAACACTTAATGTCCCCTCCGCTACGCCGGGGTATAAAATTACAAAGAATGCCCACAAGCACAAAGTACTTACTTTGCTCATATGAAATCTATTTACATCGAAGATGCACACCTCATTTTTTATACCCATTTGGATAATATTTTTTTATTTATTCAAAATTTTTCAACATAAATTGGTGTTTATGTACACTCTGACACATCAAACTTTATGCTTTAAAAAATCTGTGCAATGTGTTTGATCATGGAAGCGGTTTGATAAAACGACGATCGTCAATATTTGAATTAATTTCCGTAGTATAAATTAAATGAAAACTAGATGACATTATTTCAGGATGGAGCAGGAGAACAAAACAAGCAAACCAAAAATTACATTTTGATATCAAGCAATGAGGAGGCAAAGGAATTATTTAAAAGAATAGATACGAACAAACACAATATTGCGACACTTGGTTTGGATGTGGAAGCTGTTGAATTAGGAAGTTCCTGGAAGGGAGTTGTCTCCATTGTGCAAATAAAAATACAAGACAAACCTCCATACCTTATAGACATATATGGGAGCAAGATAGATTTGAAGGCGACCTTGTTCAACGACATAATGAAATCAGAAGAGATTGAAAAGGTTTGTTAATAAAAGCCTCAATATTAAATAGAATAAAGTTTTGGGTCAAGTCACTCTTTCAATTTTTCAAAACGAAATTTATTATCCCAGTGTTAACAAATAATAAGTCAGTCTGGTTTAAATTACACTTAAACTTATATTGATTTCTACATTTTGTTTTGAGATTTTATTATTTTGATTTATTCATCAATGAATTTTAATTTTGTTCCAGGTAATTCATGATCCGAGAAATGATAGCAGCATGTTGTATGAAACATACAAGACAGAGATGCGAAATGTGTTTGATACCCAGGTTAGTGTTTCTGTTAATTATTTGATGGAAAATCAGATGGATTTTTACGTAGCAGCTCTGAAGTTGCATTGAATTATTATTGATGATTGTTCTTACCTTTCCTCTAAACAAATAAATTTTTTGAAGTTCATAATAATTGATACATTATGAAAATATTTTCAGATCTAATAATCTATATTGCACATACCTTTTTAGCTCACCTCGCCAGATGGGTCCGTCGTCTGTCGTCGTCGTCATCTCCTTTGAAACTACTGGGCCAAGTTTAACCAAACTTAGCTACAATCATCATTGGGTATCTAGTTTTCAAAAAATGTGTCTGTTGACCCCGCCTGCCGACAAACATGGCCAAAATGGCTAAAAGTAGAACATAGGAGTAAAATGCAATTTTTGTCTATTATCTTAAAAAATACTAAAGATAGAAAAATCTGACCGAAGCATATATGTTCAGAATGATGGGATGATTTTCTTCTGTCTATCGACATCAAAACTGTTAGACGACTTCTTATTGCATTTATAGCCCTTAGTGACGATTTTTTTCCTATTTTTTCAGTTTTGCCAATTATCTTGAAATTTATAATAGATATGCAGAAACTTTAAATGGCAAAAATGATCAGAAAGACAAGATCTACAAATAAGTCAAATGAATTGAATCGTCCGTTTACTCCTTGTTGCAGTTATTGTCTTATAATTACGATTTTTCTAACATTTTTTCTCATTTTTGCCTATTATCTTGAAATTTGTAAAAGATAGCTAGAATCTTTAAAACGCAAAATTGACCCGCAAGACAAGATCTACAAATAAGCCAGCCTGACAGAAACTGTCAGTCGACTCCTTATTGCAGTTTTTGCCCTTTAATGACGATATTTCCCATTTTTTTTCATTTTTGCCTATTATTTTGAAATTTATAATATATAGATAGAAACTTTAAAAAGCAAAATTGGTTAGCAAAAGCAAAACCAGATATCTTGACTTACATCTAGAAATTGACAATGAGGGTCGGTTGAAAACGAAACTTTACGACAAAAGAGATGATTTCAACTTCCCAATTGTGAACTTTCCATTTCTATGTAGCAACATTCCTGCAGCGCCTGCATACGGAGTATATATCTCCCAATTGATACGATATTCCCGGGCATGTATTTCCTATCATGATTTCCTTGATACAGGATTGCTGCTCACAAGGAAGCTATTAAACCAAGAGTTCCAAATGGTGAAGTTGAAATCATCCCTTCGTAAATTTTACGGACGCCTTCACGAGTTGTTTGACCGTTATGGAATAACCGTTTCACAGATGATATCGGGTATGTTCCTTATGTCGTAACTACATTGCCCTTCCCTTTTCACGAATGTGACGTACCGAATTAGACTATTTACCGGATTTGTAATAACATGAGCAACACGACGGGTGCCACATGTAGAGCAGGATCTGCTTACCCTTCTGGAGCACCTGAGATCACCGCCAGTTTTTGGTGGGGTTCGTGTTGCTTAGTCTTTAGTTTTCTATGTTGTGTCATCTGTACTATTATTTGTCTGTTTGTCTTTTTGTTTTTGGCCATGGCGTTGTGAGATTGTTTTCGATCTATGAGTTTGACTGTCCCTCTGGTATCTTTCGTCCCTCTTTTACAAATACGTTAACATGACTGAAATTGTCAGTCTACTCCTTAATGAATTTATTGCCTTTAATGACGATTTTTCGCAATATTTTGCATTTTTGCCTATTATCTTGAAACTATAATTTACAGATAAAAACTTTAAATAACAAAAGTAATCAGCAAGACAAGATCTACAATTAAGCCAACATGGCCGAAATCTTCATTTGACTCTTTGAGTTCTTGCACTTCACAGGTAGACAGAAACTTTTAAAGGAAAAATGACCAGCAGGACAAGATCTACTGACACGTCAAACATGACCGAAATCGTCAGTTAACTGTTTTTAGAGTTATAGCTCTTTAATGATGATTTTTACAAAAAAGTGGCCTTTACTGTTCTCGTACTATGAACAACAAATTAATTTACTTTGTAAAAATATCTTCGTACTCCTAACAACAAAATTATCATATTCAAATTTACCTTTGTGTAAGTTATTTTATTAAACGCCATTTTGTCCCAGGTTATAGTTTTCTTTTTGACATTGTTATACATCCCCCCTTTTTTATTTAGTATTGTATTCATATTGTGCCATAGGTCAAATTTATTCGTTCAGTGTATGTTTACTTGTTTTTGTTAATATGTCTTTTTGATTGAGTTAAGCCATTTCAATTGATATTTTATAGTGTGTCTTTCTATGTTGTTATGTTTCATTACTATTTCAGGTTAGGATGAAGGTTGGCACCTGTTAAAACGTTTAAACCCGCTGCATTTGTTTGCACCTGTCCTAAGTCAGGAGCCTGTTTCAGTGGTTTTCGTTTGTTGATGTGGTTCTTAAGTGTTTCTCGTTTCTCTTTTTTTATATAGATTAGACTGTTGGTTTTCCTGTTTGAATTGTTTTACACTAGTCATTTTGGGACCCTTCATAGCTTGCTGTTCGGTGTGAGCCAAGGCTCTGTATTGGAGGTCGTACTTCGACCTATAATTGTTTACTTTTTACACATTGTGACTAGGATGGATAGTTGTCTCATTGGCACTCATACCACATCTTCTTATTTCTATTTAGTGCATATGCAGGTGAGCGACATAAGCACTTCAGACCGTCTAGTTACTAATATAAAAATCGTACGGCGGTAGATGCATACATAGCAAGAAATGCATAACTTGTCGACGCACCCGATCTCACTCCTTTTGGAGTTCCAGCGATTCTCTCAGATTTTGTTTGTTACCTTGATTTGAAATTTTTAATCTATTTTTGCTATTTGAACATCGGTAAACTACTGTTGCCTTAATGTTTTATATTCTAGTCTCGAAGACGTCATTACATGTCCACATTTTTATATCTATCCCTTCGGTTTTGATTCAAATGCACGTTTTTATTGGTTTTCTGATTAAAATATTAATGCCGGTTGATTTTATGTTTATTTTTTACGCAAAGCAATATATTTGATAGAAGCGAATTTTTAAGTTTTCTGTTTCGGACTTACAGCCTTTGATTATCTATGAAACTGATAGTAAACCTAAGCCCATATACATGTATCTGTTTATTCAAATTCAATGAACTTGTCTAAATTAACCTCAAAATCAACGTCTACAATAGGCTTACGTTTCACTTAAAAGAGAATAATGCGATCATTGTCTATCAGACCGTGTCAAAAATTAAAAAAGGTCGGTTGCCACGTTGTTTTTTTTTTCATTTCAAGCTAAAGAAAATTAAATAGAATATCACTACACCAACTTACCCACGACGTCTGGTAATGGATGTATACTTACTTTAGATTTAGATTTACATTAAAATTTATTTTAGTCCTTCCAAATGACAGTTGAAAATAAATGTAGTCCGATATTAACTACAAGAAGATTGCAAAGCCAAAGGAAATCGTTGGACTTTATTTATGAAAAGTACGTAGGACGTTTTCCAAATAAAACATTGAAGGATGATATGAAAAAGCAAATGTCAGAAGATCAGAATCTTTGGTTGAAACGACCATTGACAGGAGAAATGGCTATGTATGCAGCATTAGATGTTGATACACTTCTACCAATACGGTTTTCAATGTTAAAGTAAGTATGCTAATTAGGGCCCCGGCGACTAATCGACAAGTCCGTCCTTGCGTTCATCTGTCCGTCACAAATCGTTTGCGCCTTATAACTTCAAATCCCTTTTAGTTGGGTAATGAAGCCTCTTGTGATTATTCACCAATTGGTGAGTGTGTCTGATGAAAAACTGCACATTAACAGTTATGGTCAAAAGATTAGTTCAACTTGGTCATCCCTGTTCAAATGAACTAAACATTATTTCCGCTTTTTAACTTTCAAACTCTGGAACTGGGTAATGAAACTTGGCATAATTATTCACTGTTACTAGAAGGTTTGTGGCATATAAGGAAAAAAAACCAAATATTGAAAGTCGTGGTCAAAAACTAAGTGGATAAGAACTAAAAAATCGATTCCGCTCTATAACTTCACAACCCTTAGAGTTCGGAGACGAAACGGAGGTACATCAGTAAAATATCTGCCTTCCATTGGTAAAAGCTATGTTTTCCCCAGATTCCTACTAAGTTGCGTCAAAGTATTTTTTTTCACTTTCATTAAGTTAAATTGAGAAACATGTAATGACTTAGGCAATAGAAGTTTGCCTATGTTCAAATAGAATTTTCATTTTCCATTGAGCATTGCATATTTAGGTTGAAAGATTAATGCCTACTCTCATAACTAACAATGTTTTCTTTTAAATAGTGTTGGTACAGTTTCAATTCTATTGTCATTTTTATGATTTTGATATACAATGTATGATGTAGATCGAGATGGAATTTCTGAAAAACTATAAAATAAAACATATATTATACTTCTCAATTTCGCTTAGAATTTCTAAAAAAAAAAATTTCTGTATAGTAGCCCAATTGGGTTTATTAAAAGGCTATGGTCAACTTAGATCAGCAAAACATACACGTACAGGTCAGCATTATTCAGTTGTTGCATTTTTTAAAACTTGATTACTTGCCAAAATAAGTTAAATTTGCTGACCTTTATTGAGCAGTTTTCCAAGGTTTTTGTCATGCCATTTTTGTGATACTTACTAGGATGACACTAGTGGAGCATATCTGCGTACCCTACCGGAACATTTGATAACACCCTAAGGTTTTGGTGGGTATCGTGTTGCTTCGATTTTTTGTTTTCTATATAGTGTTTTGTATACTTGTTTGTCTTTTCCTCGTCTTTCGTTTTTTTGACATGGCGTTGTCAGTTTCTCTTTAACTTATGAGTTTTGAATGTCCCTTGGTATAAACAGCCTATTCTTAAACAAATGATATGAAAATAAGGAGATGTGGTATGATTGCCAATGAAACAACTTTCTACCAGAGTTCAAATGACGAAGGTAAAAGCAATTATAGGTCACCGTATGGCCTTCAACAATGAGTAAAACCCATACCGTATAGTTAGCTATAACGGCCCTGACATAAAAATGTGAAACGATGAAAACGAAAAAACAAACGGCCTAATTTATACAACACAACTTACGAAAAACAAATATGACAGACATGAACAAACGACGACTTCTGAATTACAGTCTCCTGACTTGGGACAGGCTCATAAAGAATGTGGCGGGTTAATAGATATAGGAAGATGTGGTATGAGTGCCAATGAGACAACTCTCCATCCAAGTTACAATATATATAAGTAAATTATAGGTCAAGGTACGGCCTTCAAAACGGAGCATTGGCTCACACCGAACAGCAAGCTATAAAGGGTCCCAAAAAAATACTAGTGTAAAACCATTCAAACGGAAAAACTAACAGTCTAATCTATATAAAAACGAGAAACGAGAAACACGTATGAACTACATAAACAGACGACAACTACTGTAATCAGATTCCTGACTTAGGACAGGTGCAAACATTTGCAGCGGGATTAAACGTTTTAATGATACCAAACCTTCTCCCTTTTCTGAAACAATAGTATAACATCACAACATAGAAAACACACTATAAAATATCAATTGGAAGGCTTAACTCAATCAAAAAACGTAAATTAACACACAATGAACGAATAAATTTGACCTGTGACACGTGGATGCAAATACACAGTTAATAAAAAATTACAAGGGATAAATAATTAAAGTCAAAAGTAAATAAACAGGTTTAAACAAAGTTAAAGTATTATATCACTGTGAAATGTCAAACATTTTTTTAGAAAATCATCACTTTTGAAGAAACCTGCGTCATATTATACACAGGTAAATGAAAATAATTTTGTTGTTAAGTTTACTTCTTCTAAACATGTTTGTGAACGCTCAACCCTCCCCTAATCTGGGACAGTGGTGTTACAGCACAACATAAGAACAAAATGTAAAATCAGTTGCAAATGACTTAAATCAATAGATCGATACAAAGCACACAAAAAAAAAAAAACAATAGACATAAAGTACCATTATAAGAGTTCTCGTAGTTACTGAAAGCAAGTTCAAATTCAATTACAACTAAAATTAAATCATGTTTTCTCAGACTAAAGTCTCAATCAGTTCACATCAAAAGAATTTAGTAAAAAGACGTCATTCACAGTCTGAGAAACGCATGGCCTTATGCAATGCAAAATATAGGTAAACAGTATCGACAGGATGTAGGATAATTCTTACCCATAACTGTACATATTTAGTTCTACTAAACTTTTGTTTACATAGCTATATATATTTTTTAGTTATGTAATATATAAAAAACAAAATCAATGTTAGTATCGGTAAAATCAACATTTTAAGATTTTACTACAATTATTAATTTATAACCTTTAACAAGTTTAAAAGGGTATTAGCAGCGATGTAAACAAAACATTCGACTACGATTTTTATGCCCCCGCAACTAAAAGTTGGGGGGCATATTGTTTTACCCCTGTCCGTCCGTCCTTCCTTCAGTTCGTCCGTCCGTCCAATTATGGGCATTATAGTTATTCCACATAACTCCTGCTACTATTTGAATGCTAGGAAGTTTTCACTTTGCTGGCTGTTTGTACATATATTTAAGGTGTGCATGTGGTCAGGGTTTTGATTTTTATTAATATTTGCTCTTTGGGAGATAGTTGAACTTTGTCATTCTGGAGTATATACTCGCATAAGAGGTGCATAGAGTTTTCGGATAACTCCTCCTACAGTGAACCATAGACCTATGTGCTCCCATGCTCAACTTTGTGTATTTTAAAATAACACTTTGCATCTGCGGGGGCATCATTTGTGTCTCCCAGACACAATAATATCTCAAAGAAAGTCCTACATTGACTTTGTTATAATACAGATACTTCAGAGTGGAGTGCGGGGACATCACTTTGTCAAGTTTTTTTTTTGTTTTAAACATTTTTGAAAGCGGAATACTGAAATAGTATTTCGCTATTAACAGTTAGCCTGTCCTAAGTCAGGAATCTGATTACAGTAGTTGTCGTCTGTTTATGTAGTTCATACGTTTTTATATAGATTAGACCGTTGGTTTTTCCGTTTGAATGGTTTAACACTAGTAATTTTTTGGGGCCCTTTATAGCTTGCTGTTCGGTGTGAGCCAAGGCTCCGTGTTGAAGGCCGTACCTTGACATATAATGGTTTACTTTTATAAATTGTAACTTGGATGGAGAGTTGTCTCATTGGCACTCGTACCACATCTTCCTATATCTAGTTTGTATTAATTTGGTCAAAATAAGGTCGAAAACATCACAAATGTATTATTGACCTGCAAGTCATTAATTAAACCTCTGTTGAACCCGTGTTCATGTAACCCTTATTTCATCTTTGGCTGAAGATGCGTTACGCATGCCCTAAGCGTGTCCGATTTTTAAAAAGAAAAAAAATGCCATCATTGAGAAGTGATCTAGGGAGCCATCATAATAAAAAAAAAACATTTCTGTGACCGATTCGGCCAACAAAAACATCATTCATATCAAGGTAAAACGATGATTGACATTTTTTAAATCTATGACATGAAATCAAACTGACCTGGAAAAATCGTAATTACAAAACTCCTCGCGCTTTTCGGTCTATTTATATTTATATATTTATTTATATCGGGTCGAACGACTATCGGCAGTCTTCGGAGGTAATCTCGATGGTTTATTAGATGGTGTTCAATCTAAAATAGGCACGTTATGCTGATACATTATAACGAGTTCATGCGTTGTTAATTGTTTCTTTTGGACTTTGTGTAATTTAGATTTTTGCTTTAGTATTTTATGAATCAAATGTGAGAATTTCAGTCCAATCGGTGATCATGAGTTTGACAGCTAATGCCTCTTTAAAAACAAGTTTATTCAAAGGATAAATGAGTTTACATGATTCGTATCTAAATTTACAGGCTTTATAAGTGATATCACTTTCAAAATTAGGATGTGCTATATAGTTTTTTAATCAAAACTCTACAAGTACAGCCAAACTTTCTGACCAAATCTCTGGATCTACGAATTAGTAAAAATTTTAATTAATTTGTGGTAACGAAATTCCTAACTTAATAATTTACCAGTTATACATAAATTACGTTCATTGAAATCTAATACGCAAATACAAACACGGGCTAAGCGAACAAGTTGTAAAGTATGCACATCGTAATAATGACCCAAAGGAACATCACCCCCCCCCCCCCCCCCAAAAAAAAAGAGAAAATTAACAATAGGGAACGAATAATTGTCTCTTTTGTAGTACATTCTTGTATCGAGCTCTCCGTGTGAAACTGAATTATCCAAATCAAGAAAAGGACATTCATTGCTGTCTGTTTTAGATTTATTTTAAGTAATTTCCCTCGCGTAAATTACCGCAATGAAATAGGAATATTATTGATTATTTAAAGCAAACATAGCGTGAAGGTTACGGCAAGTGTTTTTAAATTTATCAATAAAAATGTAGTTTATACAGATATTTACTGAGTATGGCCATAAACGGTGATTTATAACAATACAGGAACAAGACTTCTGTTAAAGGACGCAATTGGTTCCCGTAGGAATGCCTTCAACCTGCCGAAAAACTCTATTGCCAAAACGTGCACAGAGGTTGTCAAGGAGAAATGATTTGGCTTTCATTGTGAATTTTTAATTAGCTACGTAAAAGTGTTATCCTGCTAATCTTAGAGATATTTCAATTGTACTTAAAAATGAACTTACCAAATCCTTATCTCATATTTTGCTGGAAAATCACTTTCCAAATTTTGGAGAAGTCTTACGCCTTTTGACGCCAAAAATCCATTGCATCGAAATGAATACAACAATTCTTACAAAAAACAAATATTTGTCTACATTTTCCTGAAAAAAAAAGAACCCCGAAAAAAAGATTTCGCTGGTAGCTCATTCAATAAGTAATAATGCGTAATGATTTTTTAGCCTTATGAAAAGATTTTGTTATTACATCATAATCATATACAAAACTAGTTACAACGGGACATTAAAAGCTCATCCTTTCTCTAACAATTATATCCACTGAAAGTGTATCGACTCCCTAATATTGTTATTGTATTAAATATCAACGATTTTACTTTATAAATTTGTTCTTTCAGACACCTAAGTGATATGGGCGATGTTCAGAGGATAGCTTTTCTGAAAACATATAATGAATTATGCGCAGAAAGCATATACACGCCATTACCTATAGCTAATGCTGAAATTAATATACGTAAAAAGTTACGAGAACGCGATGAAGCAAAAGGTTTACAAATGCTTGGTATTGAATTATCAAAAAAAGAAAAAAAAATCATTCGGTCTTTTTGAAGGATGTTAAAATAAAAAAAGACAAAAGATACCACAGGACATTCAAATTCATAAGTCGAAAACAAACTGACAATGCCATGGCAAAAACGACATGATTTGACGATATTTTGTATATTGAAATGTTAATTTATATCTAATAGCGTGCACGTTTTACTAGAACTAAGATGTCAATAATCTTAGTTGAATGTGACCTTCGGCGTTGTTCAACTGTTCATTTACAGAAATCGAAAAACGACCAAAAGACTACAATATACAAAACACAACACAGAAAGCTAAAGACTGAGCAATATATAAACCACACCAAAAACCAGGGGTGATCTCAGGTGCTCCGTAAAAATATAGCAATATAGATTCTACCACTGCATCAAGTGTGTTACGATATTTCTCCACTCAAGACAGTTACATTTTAATATTTAAAGCACGAGGCTTGCCGAGCTTTTTAAATAATTAGAATTTAACTGTTGAGAGTGGAGAAATATCATAATACACGAGTTATAGTGGTGGAATCTGTTTCTCTAATGATTTTTAGACGATATCTAAACAAAGTTTATCCTTCCTTTTCAAAGATTTGCAGAAAGTTATATTTTTTTATGTGACGTCATCAGGCATGGTCGCCTTTTTTCATGACGTCACAATAGAAAGTTCAGAAGAAACCAAGAAAATTTGACGTCATAATTGTATTTCGACCAGTCATTGCCGAGAACAAAGTTTTCTCTAGAGATGAGTAATATTTTTCTCACACCGATCGAAAAATGTGAAAAAAACATGAAAGTTAGAGAAATTACCATTTCAAACACCATGAAGAGGTAGAAAATCTCAGAAATCTAAGACTAGTCAAGGAACAAACAAAGGAAGACCATTTAAGGAAGGTTAAAAATAACGGAAGGAAAAAATAAAAGTGGTGATGACGTAGAAAAAGAAACGAAATTAACACTGTCGTTGAAGAGGAATTGAGATTGTCAACTACAATATAAAGAAAGCTTATTCCAGAGTATGCGTTTATATTGATCAGTAATAATTCATAACAGTATTAATTTTTTCAATAAATGCCCAAAATCTAGCTTCTCTTCTTTGATCAATTACCGTCATTTTATTTTTTTCCATTCAACACATAATTTAGATTTTTGATGTATTGTTCTTCAAATAAATGATAAAGAAGACATTGCAAACAATAAATGTAAAAACACAAATCATTACATATTACTAATTTTAGAGAGGTGTTAAATATTGACAAATTTGATGCCTGTAGTGTCGTTCAAAATAAAACTGAGGTTGCAATTGTAGCATGAATCACGTGTACTCCATGTTTTATTTCAATTAGAACATGAATTCGTTTAAAAAGCAAAGGAAGAGCTTCTTTATATAATGTACATGTAAATTACCTTTTCTGTTATGGTAACAAAAGGTATGCTTTAAAATAAATGTATGAAGTCATAGTTTGAAAACGTTATTATTAAAAATAAATGTATTTGCATCAATTATGATATGCTTTCCGATATAAAAAAAGATTATGTTATGATAATAGTAAAAACATTTATCCAGGAATATTGGCTCTTGTGTATCATTAACACGCAACATACTTATGTGGCTTGCAGTTTTGAAAAATAAAACCAGACATATGAAGTGGCATCGGTAAGCCAGGTTGAAGATCTACAAGATTTTGATCGCATCGTTAGAAGATCACATCTCGACTCCATTAGATATTTCTAGCTGAAACAATTTATTCTAGAAAAATTGAAGTCATTTTTTCGTAGGTTTTATGGACGCCATCGTGACTTGGTTTGACCTTTACGACTATTTCTGTCACCTTTTGTCAAGGATATGTTCCATGTTGTTATAACCATAATTCCAGTCTGTGTTCTACGTCTATGACTTATCATTGGCATTTTACATGTCATGATCAACACGATGGATGTCACTAGTGAAACAAGAAAGTATACCCTTGCGAAACACATGAGTCGTTCACCAGTTCTTTGATTTTGATGTGGTTCTGGCTTTTCAGTCTTTATTCTCCTATGTATTGTTTTGTTGATTGGTTGTCTTTTTTTTTGCCATGGTGTTGTCTGTCCTTCGACTTATGGTGTTTGCAGAAATACAATCTATCTGTAAAGGATTATAAAGTATGTAACAAATGACCTTGTTATTTAAGAATTTTGCGGTAAACAAAATGTATTACATGAAATATGCAAAAAGCTTTTGAAGTGAGCAAATTCTTATAATTTAAAGATCGGCCACAATCAAAAGCTAGCTTACTCAGTTCTCAACCGATACTGACTTTAATATTATGTCCTTGTTACTTGCCAGACATCAATTATTTATTAATTCTATTCCAAGACAGAAATCTCGGAAATAAAACCAAATTCCCTTCCCAATCTCTGTCATCATTTATTTATTGCAGCTAAGATTAATCCTTTTCATTCCATTAAACTCCTTTGTAAAGTTTTTTTTTTTTATATTTTAAAGCAATCCATCTTCTCTTTTAGGCAAGTGCCTGCCTGCAAAATCAATATGTCAGAACCTAATTTATATTCACTTATGTTTTGATGAAAAATGTCAGGTCATAAATCATTGATACTGGACAAGCATTCACTTTTAATTTAATTATCTATTAAACTAAATTGGTAAGAAAAAGTTTCTGATTTCCCAAATTTTCTTTGAATGTACTTAGCGAAAATCTTCAGTCGTGGTTTTTTGTCGAGCCTGCGACTTTTGTCGCAGAAAGCTCGACATAGGGATAGTGATCCGGCGGCGGCGGCGTTAGCTAACTTCTTAAAAGCTTTATATTTTAGAAGGTGGAAGGTCTGGATGATTCATACTTTGTATATGGATGCTTCATGTTACGAAGTTTCCGTCAGTCACATGTCCAATGTCCTTGACCTCATTTTCATGGTTCAGTGACTACTTGAAAAAAAAAGTTAAGATTTTTTGTAATGTTAAATTCTCTCTTATTATAAGTAATAGGATAATTATATTTGGTATGTGCGTACCTTGCAAGGTCCTCATGCCCGTCAGACAGTTTTCACTTGACCTCGACCTCATTTCATGGATCAGTGAACAAGGTTAAGTTTTTGTTGTCAAGTCCATATCTCAGATACTATAAGCAATAGGTCTAGTATATTCGGTGTATGGAAGGACTGTAAGGTGTACATGTCCAACTGGCAGGTGTCATCTGACCTTGACCTCATATTCATGGTTCAGTGGTTATAGTTAAGTTTTTGTGTTTTGGTCTGTTTTTCTTATACTGCATGCAATAGGTCTACTATATTTGGTGTATGGAATGATTGTAAGGTGTACATGTCTAGCGGGCCGGTATCATCTGACCTTGACCTCATTTTCATTGTTCAGTGGTCAAATTGAAGTTTTTGAGTTTTGGTCTTTTTTTCTAATACTATATGCAATAGTTCCACTATATTTGGTGTATGGAAATATTTTATGATCTATTTGTCAGTCACGCAGGTTTTATTTGACCTTGACCTCATTTTCAAGGTTCATTGCTCAGTGTTAAGTTTTTGTGTTTTGGTCTGTTTTTCTTAAACTATAAGCAATAGGTCAACTATATTTGTTGTATGGAAGAATTGTTAGCTGTACATGCCTGCCTAGCATGGTTCATCTGACCTTGACCTCATTTTCATTGTTCATTGGTCAATGTTTAGTTTTCTTGGTTAATGTTAAGTTTATGTGACAGTTGTTATAAAGCTTTATATTTAGGACTATCAACATAATATCAATGATTAGTAAAGAAGGCGAGACATTTCAGCGTGTGCACTCTTGTATTAATATTTCTTATATCAGTTTGGAAATCACTTTTTTTTTTTAATATCTGTACAATTTAGATGTTATTTAGATGTTTAGGCAAATAACTTTGTGTTAAATGAAGTGACTGAAACATGATTATTTAAAAAGCTTTTTGAAATTTGAATAATTCATTTAATTCATTAAATTGTCGATCAGCATCAAGCTAAATCATTTTTGAAAAACCATACATTGTTTCTATAAAACATGAACATTTTTATCCACGATACGAGATTTTCTGTAATGATGAATGCATAAAAATAATTCACTGTTATCTGTTAATCTTTTGCTTATTAGATTCTTTACTTGAATGAACGAATCTAAACGATTTTGACTTTACTGTTAAAGGGGAATTAGCTAAATTTAAAATACGATTATTTTTTTCAAGTATTAATAAAAACGGGAATTTTGAAGGAATATTTCGTAAGCAGTGAGTTTGGCCCAAATTTGTCAAAATAAGCTAAAAACATCGCTGATGTATTATTGACTTGCAAGTCAATAACTCAACCTCATGTGAATCCATATTCATGTGAACTTCAATTTAACCCCTTAGCGAGAGATGGGTTACGCATGCACTAGGCGTGTTCAGCTATTGAAAGGAACGAATGTCAACATTGAAAGTGAAACAAGGGTGAACCATTTCGTTTACTGATTCGATCCACAAAAAAAAAAATCTTATACAGGAAAAAACGATGATTAACATATTGTTTAACCTATAACATGAAATAAAACAGAACTAGAAAAATCAAATTGCACGTGCTCGTATCTATTTTTATTTATGTTTATATTCGGGTTAAATGACCGTCGTCAGTCTTCGGAGGTCATCTCGATGGTTAATTAGATGGCGTCTAGACAAAAATACACACGAAATGAGGACACATATTATCGAGTCCATGCATTGTTCATTGTTTATTTTAGACCTTTTGTGATTTAGATATGCGTTTTGTTATGTTATAAATCAAATATGAGATTTTGAATCACATCGGTGAACATGAATTTGACAGATAATGCTCCTTTAAATGTTTGATGCATACGTCTTCCATAAAATTTAAAAAAAATCGGTTTACTACTTAAATCCATTGTTAACACAAGTCAAGCACGGGTACCTGATATTTGTTTTGTTTTGTATATTTGAAAACATAAGGAAATAATTACATGATTTATAAGCACCACCCAAAAACTATTAAACACATGTATATGAATACTTTGATCAATATTATCTGGAATGTGTGCTTTTAAAAGGTTAGCGTTTCACACTTTTAATAAACTTTTTAGTTTAAATAACAATTTTAGTAGTTTTTTTAGAATGCAAAACAGAAAAAACCTATCAAATGTTTTAGCTAATTTCGATAAATGATCTTCTGATCGAGTGTGAATTTGCATGGCCGGTGATGCATACATAGCATTTTGTTTATTACCTTGATTTGTTTTAATCTTAATAGATTTACGAGATTTGAACATCGGTAGACAACTGTTGCTTTCAGATATCTTTGTTAAAAACGAATAAAATACCGATAGAGAATAACTACGTGGGAAACCTTTGGTGAATTCGACTTGATATTAGACGTAATAATTCAGGTAAAAAAATATATGTAAATGATAGACGGTTTGCTACTTAAATAAGTCCCAGTACAATTTTTTATTGAACATTGCAAGATCAATTCTAATATTTTGTGGTTTTTTTTTTTTTTGCATCGTTAAATAGGTAGTAATTGATGTTAGTTAAAATATCTAAAATCATGCGGGCGTTTGATGCGGTCATACCCCTTTGAATGCGATTCTATCAGTTTTTGTGTGTTACCTTGATTTGTCTTAATCCATTCATGAGATTGGAACATCGATTAAATACTGTTGCATTGACTTATCGAATTATGTGTGAACATGTAGTTTTTCTTTTAATAATTTTCAGCTCCTATCAAACGTGACTTATCGAATTCACAATAGGAGTCATTATAGAAAGACTTAAAAGTTTCTCGATAAAAAAACTCACTTTTTTCTCTTCTAGAACCCATCTTAAAAATTGCTTGACAACAACTCAAGTTATGTTTTAGGTTTTAATAGTCCTTAATATCAAGGCAAGATATATAAATCAGTATCTCTTATATAAACTTTTTTCAAAGACATATATTGTGGAAATTTATGGTTTATTTTACAATGTCACATGCATATGGCCTGCAAGTCACAAAGCGTATCACTAGCATGGAAGTCATTGCTTTAAAACTGGAAATATATATCTTTGATGTTTTATACTTTTACATTTTCAGTTGACAAATGTAAGGCTAACTTCAACAATGCAAAGACTCTCTTGGCTGGTTTGGGCTGCTTAGCTGATATATTATGGTATTATTCCTCTTTGGCCTTTTATTTATTTAGATTTGACATATTTGTTGTCGAGAGACTTTTTTCGAGATACACATAAGGTGCATTAATTTACTTTGCTGAATTGTATTTTTTTTTTTATTTCTTATACATTCGTAATTGAATGTTATGGACATGTATATCTAGTTCATTCATTTAAAACGTGCTTGGTTAATTTCAGTTTAATTGAATATGCCAACATATAAATATATATAGATTAAAAAGTGACAATTCAAGGTAACAAACAAAAACTGATAAAATCGCATGAACTTCAAAAAGGAGCAAG